AGGAATGGGGTACAATAATAACTATTAATAATAATAACTACTATAACTACTACTACTACTACTACTACTGCTACTACTGCTACTACTACTACCATTCTTCCATTCCCTACTAACCAAAGGTAAGTTTCTGGAGAGGTACTTCCGCATCAGCAGGTCTGGAACTTCGAGCCTCAGGGCTTCGATGAGGTTTATGTTTGTACAAGTTTTAGATGGCGAGCTTTTGGGGGAACACGTTCACGGTCTTCATGTTTCGCTTCGGGTTAGTGTTCAGAGATGCCGGGTTAAACCCTAAACCCTAAACCCTAAACCACTGAGTTCAGCGCATTTTGTCGGATGCTGCGTGTGTATCAGGCAGTCCATGCAGTTTCGCGGTTCAGTTCTGGAGGTTCACACACGGGTGGTTGTCAAAATGATGGTCCCTTTTTTTGGTACCCTAAGTATTAGGTGCCGTATTATAATAAGTACCCAAAAGGGGACCCTAATTTTGACAACTACCCACACGTTGATGAACGAACAAACGGAAGGTTGGAGCTTCACACTCGCATGCGGAGACATGCTGCAACTAGCTGTCAACTTATGCACGCGCCGCCAACACAGTTCAACACACAGCAGCAAGTTGTTTCTGTCTAAGAATGCCTAGCCCCATCTTTCCGGTTGGAGGCTCAGGAGTTGAGTAAAGTCTACAGAGTCTACAGCATTGCCGCTTCTTGTCTGAGAAAGCTCATATGCTCAGAACCTCCAGCACTGATGGCGTCCTCGTTTTGCTGTCAGCACGGAGCGACTCTAGAGAAATCCCTGCTTCTCATGCACTGACATTCCTGGGCTTGGGACGTCGTCCTAAAGGCTGCAGAGATAAGCTTCGGCAGGCTTTTGCACTGAGTTTCGTTCGCACTCAGACCTGCTTCTTTGCTGCCGTCGTTTCAGCTGACATGCAGCATGCAGATCCGGGCGCCGGGGGTTGCGCAATAGGGCACGAGGCCCATCTACATCTTCTCCCACCCAGCAGCGGTAGTCATCAATGTCCCGGTGCCGAGCCCCGAATCGCGATGCCGCCGAGAACAGTGAACCACACCAAACCCCAAATACAAAACCTTGAATATTTGCCACATCTCGTGTGGGCCATGGCCTCCAAAGCCCGCCAGTCAAGTCCAAGGCACGAGATCATTATCTTATCCAGTCCTTTGTATGTAGTTATCTTCTGGTAAGCAGTGCTTGTTGATATTGCTGTCGGTAGTATCAGTTACAGTGACGGCTGTTGCGATGGTGGAGGTGGCGTTGGGGTTGGCGGTGGTGGTGGCGGTTGCGGCGGCGGTGGTGGTGGGTGGTCGCTTTATTACAGGTGGCAGTTGTTGCCGTATTCGACGTAGTGGTATAGTAGTAGTAGTAGTAGTAGTAGTAGTAGTAGTAGTCGTAGTCGTAGTCGTAGTCGTGGTAGTGGTAGTCGTAGTAGTAGTAGTAGTAGTAGTAGTAGTAGTAGTAGTAGTAGTAGTAGCAGTAGCAGTAGCAGTAGCGGCAGCGGCAGTAGGAGCAGTAGGATGGGGAGTAATGAAGTAGGAGTACGGGTAGGAGTCGGAGTAGGAGTCGGAGTAGGTGGAGGTGTTGGTGTAGGTGTAGGAGTAGGAGCAGGAGTAGGGGTAGTCGTCGTCGTAGCCGTAGCCGCAGCAGCAGGATCAGTAGCCGTAGCAGCAGCAGCAGCAGCCGCAGCGGCAGCAGCAGCAGCAGCAGCAGCAGCAGCAGCAGCAGCAATAGCAGCAGAAGGAACAAGAGGTGTAGCAGGAGCAGTAGCAGTGTATTAGTAGCAGTAGTGGTAGTGGTAGTGCCGTCGTCGTCGTCGCCGGAAAAAAGTAAGAAAAGCAGCAGCAGTAGCAGTAGTAGTGGTGGTGCTGCTGCTAACTCCTACTACGACAACGACTACTACTACATACTGCTCTGGCTACTCGCACTGGTTGTCGTACTCGTATTGATATTGGTACATCGAGTATTTTCTTATGAATGTTGCGAGCAGGAGCAACAACAGCATTACTCATTACTGACTAGCCGCAGTAGCAGCAGCAGTAGCGGTAGCAGTGGCAGCAGGAGCAGTAGTTTTGGGAGTCGTAGTCGTAGTTATTGGGAGCAAACATCATGCAGCTTATGATTCCCTTTGCTGTCCTGAATCGGCATGTCCACGACGAAAGCCCTTTGCAAGGAGCCGGGTGAAAGTGTTTGTGCGAGTGAGACCGCCACTGGAGAAGGACCTCCATTGCTTGTCGCGTCGGGATTCCACGAGTTTCCAAGAAGCGACCACACATTCACGCATGTACGTCTGCACGTATGTACGTATATGAAGAATGTGTGTATACATACATATACACACCTAAAGATGTATATACTTCTTCATGTATGCATATGTATGTTTGTACACATGAACATATGCACACATGTATTTTTGTTTTGTGTTCCTTGATTGTCCCTGCTTACATAAAAGTTTAAATGGAGAGAGGGAGAGGGGGAGCGAGAGAGAGAGAGAGAGAGAGAGAGAGAACGAGTCCTACAATTACTCCCTTCAACTGACAGATTGTGCTGTCAGGCTTCGGCCTGTGTTCTGCTTGCCGTTGCCAATGGTGCTGGTTAGGACGGTTAGGACGAATACCTACAAACGCATCACTTGTGGTTACATCCAAAGATGGGCAGCCGGTGCAGCAACAACAACAGTTTAGAGATGCCAGCAGCCTGAAGGAGCAGCTTTGTTTGCCAAGTGGGCAACCCTTCACAGCTAGCTTCCATCAATCCAGCTGCTCCTTCCGGAACGAGCCAAATCTGAACATCAGGTTCTACCTATAGGATCCTAACTCCTAACCAAAAAAAGGAACTACAATGGAGACTATAGGTATAGATGTATGTACTGTAGAAGGCCGGAATTCACACGGACATGAACATCTCGTGGTGTTTTCCGTCACCTCGAACCCTGTCAGACCACAACCCAGGAGCAGCCAGGCCACTTCCTGCAGCTTTCGTCTACAGACAGCAGCTGGCTTGGAAGGGCTGTAAGGGAGGAGAGGGAAGGAAGGGTTTCGATGAAACCCTAGATGACAGATGATGGGTTCACGGCATCATGCTGTTTGGTTGCATGCCTGCCTGAGTCCAGCATACTACTACTGCTGCTGCTACGAGCAGGATACTACTAGTGCCCACCTCCACCAACAACAAACGACAACAAGCAAGACTCAAAACAATGTATAACACCAACAACAGCACCACCACCAGCAAAACAATCATGAACGATAACAAAACCTCCGCAAACACCACCACCAACACAGAACGACACCGACAACGACA